AGAGTGTGTGTAGTGTGTGTGTGTGCAGTGTGTGTGTAGTGTGTGTGTGTAGTGTGTGTGTAGTGTGTGTGTGTGTGCAGAGTGTGCGTGTGTGCAGAGTGTGCAGAGTGTGTGTGTGCGTGTGTGCAGAGTGTGCGTGTGTGTGCAGAGTGTGTGTGTGCAGTGTGTGTGTGCAGTGTGTGTGTGCAGTGTGTGTGTGTAGTGTGTGAGTGTGCAGAGTGTGTGACTTTATAATAAATGTTTTCTCCTACAACATCAGAGTGCAGCGCCACATTAAATACGCACTACAATGACAATAGTTTAAAGCGAATTGAAGCGTGTTTTATTATGATTTGGGGGGGGGGGGGGGCAGAGCTTTGTGACGTCATGTTGGGGGGGGGTCTGACTTTTTGTGACGCCGTGTGATGATGGGGGGGGGGGGGGGTCAAAAATCGTCCAAAATCGCGTGACGTCATTTATGGACGGCCCCTTAGCGCGTCACGGGGGGTGTGTTTAACAATCATCGGGTGCGTGCAGCGTGTAACGATTTAATTTGTATTCCATATCTCCGTGTATCCTCATATGTCAAGTCCCAGTGTCCCCGTGTCCTCCACCTATCCCGAGTCCCCGCGTGTCCCCGCGTCCTCTGTGACAGGCGCAAAGTGACTCGTTCAATCCCTGCACCCCACGTGCTGCCAATCAATTATCTTACAATTATCTCTTAATTGGTGACTCTCTTTGTCCCCCCCCCCGGCCTCTTTACCCCCCCCCCCCCCCAACTGGCCGGTCCCACCCCGTGTCCCCGTGTTTGCCATCTCGTTTGTAATATTTCTTGAATTTCTCCCGCGTCTTTTTCCGTTTTGCCCACTAAATGTGTTCATCTTCGTTGGTTCTTTCGGTAAAGTCACGTAGAATGAGAATAAAATAATAAATTGATAAAATAAAAATAACACGATAATATTCTCACGACGTTTCGGCCACAACACAAGCGGCCTTCATCAGGTGAAGGGGACGAGACTGTCTGGAGGACAGCGCTGGAGTGAGAAAGCCACGCTGAGATCGCGACCTTTAAGCTAAAAGCGCTGTCCTCCAGACAGTCTCGTCCCCTTCACCTGATGAAGGCCGCTTGTATTGTGGCCGAAACGTCGTGAGAATATTATTGTGTTATTTTATTTTATCAATTTATTATTTTGTTTTCATTCTACGTGACTTTACCGAAAGAACCAAAGAAGATGAATCATTGCAGTCACGAAAGCTTTAAATCGAAATGTGTTCATGATGCAGCGAACGAGGCCGGTGTCAAAGTAAGCCACGCGCGACGGTTTCTATCCAATCACAGACAGGTTGAAATCGTAAATAAGTCGCACGTGACAGATTATATCCAATCACAGGCAGGTTTAAATTGTAAATAGGTCACACGTGACAGATTATATCCAATCACAGGCAGGTTTAAATTGTAAATAGGTTACACGTGATAGATTATATCCAATCACAGGCAGGTTTAAATTGTAAATAGGTCACACGTGATAGATTATATCCAATCACAGGCAGGTTTAAATTGTAAATAGGTCACACGTGACAGATTATATCCAATCACAGGCAGGTTTAAATTGTGACTAGGTCACACGTGTCGGATTATATCCAATCACAGAGAGGATTTAATTGTTCATATGTCACACGTGGCAGTTTTCATCCATTCTAGGTTTGAAGCTTTCGTGACTGCAAGGATTCATACTCTTTGTGTTTTTTCGTAAAGTCACGTAGGTAAAAAAATCAATGAAGTGAATGAAAACTAAATTAAATCACGACGTTTCGGGCGCAAAACAAGCGTCCGTCCCCACCTGATGACGGACGCTTGTGTTTGCCCCGAAACGTCGTGATTTAATTTAGTTGTTTTCATTTATTTTATAGATTTTTTTTTTACCTACGTGACTTTACCGAAAAAACCAAAGAGTATAGTTTTCATCCAATCACGGACAGGTTTAAATTGTAAATAAACCACACGTGATGGATTCTGTCCAATCACTGACAGTTATATTCAGGATTCATCATCGGTAGTGTAAAATTGTGTTGTACAACCCTCATCCAACCAGGTGAAGCCCACTTAGCTATGTAGCTTTTTTCGACGCGACCTGACCACAAATGATAGCTCAACGAAGTGGCTCATCATCATCATGTGGAAATTTACAGCAGCCAAAATACTCTAAACACATGACGTTGATTCTAAATGTGGATGGAAAAACATCAGAGGACCCGGAGACAAATCTACACGACCACGAGGAGAGAGAGGGGGTGACACGCAAACTCCAAATATACAGGCGTCAGGGTCGGGATCGAACCCACGATCTCCTGCATGACCAGGATAGGGAGTTAACGTCTGGCCACTGCAGTGAGATGTGTCACTTGAATTACGCGTGCAACATTATTGTAGCTTCAGAAGCAGGACCACTAGTGTTGTTGTTGGAGGGCGATCTCACGTTTCGCTGGAGATGACACCCCAGCGTAATCAGGCTATTGTATGTACAGCACGTTAAAATTATTTCGCACAGTACTTAGCCAAGCGTGCTAATTGGAGGTGCAGTGTTGAGTCTATGGGGAGCGTTAGTCTATGGGGTGTTATGTATTTATGTTGAACTCCTTTCGCACCGTATGTAGCCAACCGTGCTAATCGCTAAATACAATCACGTAAATACGTTGATTTGTAACTCGTTTCCATGCATAGCTCAGTGCATAACTCTCGGCTCGGTTGAAGTTAAATTCGTTTTTTTCTCTAAATTTCCATTGACCGAGTCTAGTACGAGTACTTAGCATTCATCTGGATGTGTTTCAAGTCGCGTGCTGTGCTATCGTTGCCACCCTCCTTGCCTTCCCATTGTAACATTCCCCCCCCCCCCCGGGTGCCTACGTAGTAGGTGCCGTGACGTCACATGGCACGGGGGAAGCACGTGGTCGAGTTTAATCCGTTAGTTTGATTTGCCGATTGATTGAGATGAGCAAGTTGGGGTTGGTTGTAATGAGGTGAGTGTATTTAGCGATTGGTGAATCTGGGCCTTATCTTTAATTACGTGAATATTCCATTCATTGTCAATAATAGAGGGGGGGGGGGGGTATATCGCGTGAATGTGTTGTGAAACTCGCCACCACCTGACACAGCCAATTAGTTTAGGTGGCTAATTAGTTACCCGTTGAGCACTAACTGCTTGTGCGTTGGAGATTTAAACCCACAACGTCTACATTTCAGTACCATGACGCTTCACCGGTAATTACAAACGGCATCATCAGGCGGCAACTAGATTTCATTGTGTCCGTAATGGGAGCTGGGCTTTTCATGCTCACGGATGAGGCCTTTGAGACGCAACAAGGTTGAGTGATGGGTATCTGAATGAGTCGCGTTCTTACAGCATATAATATAATTACGGCCGTTGGGAAAGAGTTTGGTGCGGCAGTACGTCATGTTTTATGAAGCGTTAAAATGAACACACATGCATTCTGATACGCGCCCCCTTCTCTGACCTCTAAATCACCAACATCACCACCGCCATAATCACCACCATCATCATCATCACCACCACCATCACCATCAGCACTGCCACCATCAGTACCACCATCACTACCACCACCACCACCATCATCACCACCAATACCCGCAATTCGCCACTAAGTGATGGTGACATCACCACGGCGTCGGTGCCAGGCTAGGTGCACTTTGAGGCCACGTGAATTGTCGGAGGCTCGCTGACAGGAGGTCTCGAGACAGACCCAGGTGCCATGGGTTGGGCTGACTGAAATGACTGGTAGATGCACCCAGCTGTACCCCCTACTGTGCCAACTCGCTGCATTATAGCCGCTCGTTGTTGTGAGCGTCGTTCATCTGCCCTCCGTTGTTGCTGGAGGGCGACTGCCTCCAATGTCCCAGGAGCAGCGTCCTTCATGAGCCTCCTTTATAGAGGCCTCTGGTACCAGTCGTCGGCAAGTCCACTCAGCTCCACATCCTCCCGAACCGCATCAGTTCCATCTCTTCTCCAGCCCATGTCGTGCCCATTTATCCCCCTTTATGCAGCCAAACAGAAGCTGCTTGGGCATGCAGTGGCTGGGCATGCGGGCTATATAACCCAACCAATGCAGCCTTGCCTACCGGAGGAGGACAGCACTCCAGCGCTGTCCTCCAGACAGTCTCGTCCCTTCACCTGATGAAGGCCGCTTGTGTTGTGGCCGAAACGTAGTGAGAATTTTATTGTGCTATTTCATTTTATCAATTTATTATTTTATTCTCATTCTATGTGACTCTACCGAAAGAACCAAAGAAGATGAATCCTTGCAGTCACGAAAGCTTTAAATCGAAACAATAGCATGGTTGACCAATTGGGAGCCATCCCTTGACTGCACCCGGGCATCGATCAGCCTCCCACTGTATCTGTATAAGATGGAAATTCCTCTGGTACAGCCATCAAAGGCTTCACCAACCGCGTGGTCAAAACATATGTTAAATAAAGTGGGAGCCAGAGGACATCTCTGTCACACCCAAAGGTGAACAGGGAAATGCTCCGACTCAGAGAGTCAGGGACCCCGAAAGCATGAAGAACAACCCAGAGCCCAGGGCTACTGATGGTATCATAGGCCTTGACCATCACCGCTACCACCACCATCATCATCGCCGCCCCTTCTAACCGTGACTGTGTCCTGCCCGCAGCCCGCTGCGCGTCTCGTAGCTGCAGGTCACCCACGCCCTCTGCCCACCAAGCCCATTTGCCCTTCCTTGACACTTTGAATGACATCGTTGGAAACCTGCATGCCTGCGTTCTCTAATTCCACGTGTCGTTCATATTCCTCCTGTCAGGTCGATTTAATTACATGGAGGGATGGAGACGCTTTGAGGGTAGCTTGGGGGTGACCTTCATCCAGCAGCGGAATTGACCATGGCAGCTGCTGCTGTTGCTGCTGATGATTATGATGATAAAGTCGAGCGATCTGTCCCAACTTTTTCGACGTAACCCCAGGGATGGATGTGTTGTGCCCCGCAGGATTCATTCCGAGGCCGTTCCTCGGCGCAGAGCCTCTAGACCCCAGGGGCGACACGCAGAGTAAGCAGACGCCGCGTGGCGAGGAGGAGAAGGAGGTGAAGGAAGAGGAGGTGGAGGCCGAAGAGGAGAGAGGATGTGGGTCTGCACCTCACCATCCGTTTGCTTTTGAATCTCCACCACCACCGCCGTCGTCACCACCACCCATTCGCCCTGGTCCACCGCTCTCTTCGCATGGCCCCCCGAAAGGGGCTCCCCGCGTTCCTAGAGCACCGCAACCAGGCGGAGAGGTCCCGGGGACCATGATGGCCTTCCCTGGGGCGTCGCCGAGGCGAAGGCTTGGAGGGCCCTCTGCGGGCCTCCACCACCTGCTGCCTGGACTTGTGGCCGAGGGGGCCGCGCTCAAGGGCTGCAGGCCGGCCTTCGCCTACCCGGGCCTTCACCTCGAGGTGGGGCCTTCGCAGGGACCCTACGGAGGGGCTCTCCCCGCCGCTGCCGCCGCCACCGCTGCTGTTGTTGCTCCGAACGCGGGGGGGCTCTTACTGCCACCGTCGCAACTACATCAGCACCACCACCATCATCGCGCCTACCATCACCACCATCATCTGCACCATCATGGGAATGGGCATCAGCAGCAGCATCTGCATCATCTGCAACAGCAGCAACAGCAGCAGCAAGGGAAGTTGACCCCGGCCTTGCCCCTCGCAATGCCCCTGCCGCTGGTGCTGCCCAAGGCCCGTGAAGGTCCGTGTCGCCCAATGCCTTTCCTCCCAATAGGGGGAGAGCCCTCCATCTCTCCGTCCCGTCCCCACCAACATCACCAACATCAACAACAGCATCAACAACAACACGGTCAGAACAATCGACAAAACAATCAGCATCATCAACAGCAAACTCAGAACCAGACTCAAGCTCAGCAACAACGTCAACACCACCACCATCACCGGCAACAACAACAGCAGCAGCAACACCATCAACCACATCATCATCATCATCAACCACAACATCACGTGCAACAAAGGTTCTATTTCTCTGAAGCGGAGCTGCACGCGGTGCTGTACGGGAGGTTGGGCCCGCGAGGAGGGGTCACGGGGCACGCCATCTCGGGCCTTCACCTGGGCCTTCCTGCAGGTGAGAGGACACCACACGTGGGGAGGACACACGGGGAGGACACGCAGAGACATACGGGGGTTGCGGCAAGGCCACGGCGGGGGGCGGGGGGGGGGGGTCGGAATCGCGTGGAGATTGAGGACAGAATATGCGGAGATGCAAGGAGACTAGGGTGGGTCATGTGATGGATACGGGGAGATCATGTGGTGATAGTGGAGATACAGGGAGACTAGGGTGGGTCACGTGGAGACACGGAGAGATGCAGAGAGAGAGAGAGATGCTGGACATTTTTGGAGACAGAGGCAGGAACTCAGAACCACGACGAGACACCAGGAGTCCGGGGACCACTGAGAGACAGAGGAGACACCTGGGACCAAGTGAGACGCAGGCCACCTCGAGATGTGGACGGTGGAGATGTAATACTCGACTCATCTTCATGTAGGCACATCGCTGGTGGTGACTTTCATAATTACGCGGAGGTGTTTATAACCCTGGGCGTTGTTCCCACGCCGTTCGCCAGCGGCGCTTCTTCCCGATCTGGGGGTCGTGGTGAGACTCTAGGATGGAAGCAGCAGCCGCAGCAGCAAAGCGTGGTCCCAGAAGCGAGGTGATCACTGGGACCCGATTCGGCGGCCAGGAGGAGGTGACCTAATTGAGGTCTTGGTCGAGATGATGGTTGCAGCGTAGCGGTGGTCATCGTTGTCGTCGCTGGCGACAACCGCGTGCCAAAAATACTCCCCGTGCGGTCCGCGCGACGCCTCTGCGGAGATTTGTCGGGGTGGGGATGCTCCCCAAGAGTCGGCAGCCCAGGGGGCGCCCCCGTGTCGTTCTCAGAGCGTCCGTCACGGTGCCGCATTGCTGGCGTTGCTTCGCCCCGCAACCTTGGCAGTGTCGTTGATGAGCTGCCGCGCCAGGCTGAAAGCGCAGTGACCCTGCCACCGAGCGGACCAGAGATGGGGGGGGGGTGGTTGAGTTCAGAGGATGTCAGAATATTTATTCGTACTCGAGGAATCCTGTTAGCTGCAGAGCTCTTTTTGCGCACACATATCCGGTAGTTCGCGGCTGCTTATCAGCTGGTGCATGACAGACAGGTCAGCCCTGCAAGTTTCTGTAGCAGGGGGGAGGGAACTTGACTTGGTCTTTTTGCGAATCTATTTCATGTGGGGGCTTTGGAAGGGGACAGCCTTCTGTCCACGATAACCCTGCGATATTTGGCACGAGAGCGCATCAATGATGCTGCAGTTTGAACGCTGTCAGTACTATGCACACACTCCTGGCGGGCAGAGGTGAAGCTTACAGCCCTGCGATGTCTTGCTCGCTCCACGATGGGCAAAGTCACATTTACTGTGATGGTGACCCGAGACAAGAGGAACCTCCCCAGACGGTTTCGTAGCAGTAATGCTCAAATGGTGTGTTGTTGTTTGGTGGTGATGGTGGTGGTGTTGAGGATGACCATGAGTCGTAGAAAATCACCGAGCGAAGTGATGACTGTTACTGCCCAGTGGAGGTTGCTCTACATCTGTAGGGTCTGGCGGTGGTGGCGGTGGCAGTGGCGGTGGTGGTGGTGGTGGTGGCAGTGGTGGTGGTGGTGGTGGCGGTGGCAATTGTGACGGTGGTTGCGCTGGTGGTGGCGGTGGTGGGTGGTGGCGATGGTGACGGTGGTGGCGGTGGTGCTAACGGTGGTGGTGGCGGCAGTGGTGGTGGCAGTGGTGGTGGTGGCAGTGGCGGTGGTGGTGGCAGTGGTGGCGGTGGTGGGTGGTGGCGATGGTGGCGTTGGTGGTGGCGGTGGTGGGTGGTGGTGGCAGTGGTGGCGGTGGTGGCAGTGGTGGCGGTGGTGGGTGGTGGGTAGTGGTGGCGTTGGTGGCGGTGGTGGGTGGTGGTGGTGGTGGCGGTGGTTGTTACGCTGCTGTTGCTGCACGTAGCTACTGTGATCCAGCACTGCGGAGACAGCAGCGACGGTTGGTGGATCACCCCACGGATGTTGCCGAAATTCTCTCCCTTACCGTGGGTGGGCGTTGCCAGGTGAAGCGGTACAGCAAAGTGTGTGGACTAACCTCCATCTGTTCCACGCTCTCTCGCCCGTGGGTGTTAAGAAAGTGCCGTACCCCGAGCTCAGCCAGGAAAAACCAGGACAGCGAAGTGCGGATGAATATCTGAACTGTTCTAGCTGCACAAGCGTTGCCCCCTCGCTCATACGCATTCGTTTTCCACCAGGCATTCCGGTTTCCTGCCACGTACACATGCCCCTTGTGCGAGTGAGCGAATACTGTGCGCGGTGCCTTCCAAGTTGACATTATTATAACTTACAATGCCACCGACAACAGTATTGGTATGGTATATTGACCGTGATGACATATTGATCTTATCTTGGAATTAATTTTTCCTCGTGTCTTAACTAAAACTGTTTTTGCCCATTGAATTGTATACAGGGAGTCCTCGACTTATAAACACCCGACTTATGAACGCCCAACTTACGAACACCCGCACTTACGAACCGACTTCCATGAAATATATATATATATTTTTAACATCGACTTAAAACCCGAACTCGCACTCGCAATATGAACCACGGAACTATTTTGTTCAGCGGAGCGATCCTCCGCGAGATGTAATTAGTCGGCCTCGCGTTGGGAGTGTATGTGCGCACGAACATTTCCCCTGTGTGTGTGTGTGCGGGGAGCGTTAGTGCATGGTTCGCACGCTGTGCTACTAACCCGGTGACCCGAGTTCGATTCCCGCTCATGGCCACCAACACCGGTGACGATTATCTGAACCGGTCCTGGGCCTCCGCTAGGTTGACTCAGCCTCAAATGAGTACGTGGCACGGTGTGTAAACATCGCCACTAGGGAGTCAAAGGTGGCCGGGCGCGGTGCTGGTCACCCACCCCCTCGTGTGCTGTTGCCGGCCTTCATAGACGCTGTTCACTAACAGCACTTGCCCCAACAGTATCAGAGACCATGCATGAATATTTGCCGTTAAGTTTGGTGCGAGTGTAAGAGTGCGTGGGGCACGTGTGTGCGAGTGTGTGCAGGTGTAAACATCGCCACGAGGGAGACAAAGGCGGCCGGTCGTGGTGGTGCTAGCCACCCACTCTCGTGTGCCATGCCGATCTTCATAGGTGCAGATCGCTAACAGAACGCCACCAATAGTCCGTTAAGGCTATACGGGGGGGATCGTTGTCTTTGTGTGCAGGTGTATTGTGTGCAGGTGTATTGTGTGCAGGTGTATTGTGTGCAGGTATATTGTGTGCAGGTGTATTGTGTGCGTGCGAGGGTGTGTATGTGTATGTGTGTATGAGTGTGTGGGAATCTGTGCGTGTGTATGTGTAATGACGACTTGACACACCTCTCTTGAGATGGAACTTTATTGAAGACACGTTCACTTGACATCAGGCGGAGGAGACCCCCACCACAACAGCCCCGAGTCTCCCGAGCATCTCCCCCTTTTATACCTACAGTGAGGGAAAAACAGTATTTGATCCCCTGCTGATTTTGTACGTTTGCCCACTGACAAAGAAATGATCAGTCTATAATTTTAATGGTAGGTTTATATGAACAGTGAGAGACAGAACAACAACAAAAATCTAGAAAACGCATGTCAAAAATGTTATAAATTGATTTGCATTTTAGTGAGGTAAGTAAGTATTTGACCCCTCTGCAAAACATGACTTAGTACTTGGTGGCAAAACCCTTGTTGGCAATCACAGAGGTCAGACGTTTCTTGTAGTTGGCCACCAGGTTTGCACACATCTCAGGAGGGATTTTGTCCCACTCCTCTTTGCAGATCTTCTCCAAGTCATTAATGTTTCAAGGCTGACATTTGGCAACTCGAACCTTCAGCTCCCTCCACATATTTTCTATGGGATTAAGGTCTGGAGACTGGCTAGGCCACTCCAGGACCTTAATGTGCTTCTTCTTGAGCCACTCCTTTGTTGCCTTGGCCGTGTGTTTTGGGTCATTGTCATGCTGGAAAACCCATCCACCACCCATTTTCATTGCCCTGGCTGAGGTAAGGAGGTTCTCACCAAAGATTTGACGGTACATGGCCCCATCCATCGTCCCTTTGATGTGGTGAAGTTGTCCTGTCCCCTTAGCAGAAAAACACCCCCAAAGCATAATGTTTCCACCTCCATGTTTGACGGTGGGGATGGTGTTCTTGGGGTCATAGGCAGCATTCCTCCTCCTCCAAACACGGCGAGTTGAGTTGATGCCAAAAAGCTCCATTTTGGTCTGATCTGACCACAACACTTTCACCCAGTTGTCCTCTGAATCATTCAGATGTTCATTGGCAAACTTCAGACGGGCATGTATATGTGCTTTCTTGAGCAGGGGGACCTTGCGGGCGCTGCAGGATTTCAGTCCTTCACGGCGTAGTGTGTTACCAATTGTTTTCTTGGTGACTATGGTCCCAGCTGCCTTGAGATCATTGACAAGATCCTCCCGTGTAGTTCTAGGCTGATTCCTCACCGTTCTCATGATCATTGCAACTCCACGAGGTGAGATCTTGCATGGAGCCCCAGGCCGAGAGAGATTGCCAGTTCTTTTGTGTTTATTCCATTTGCGAATAATCGCACCAACTGTTGTCACCTTCTCACCAAGCTGCTTGGCAATGGTCTTGTAGCCCATTCCAGCCTTGTGTAGGTCTACAATATTGTCCCTGACATCCTTGGAGAGCTCTTTGGTCTTGGCCATGGTGGAGAGTTTGGAATCTGATTGATTGCTTCTGTGGACAGGTGTCTTTTGTACAGGTAACAAGCTGAGATTAGGAGCACTCCCTTTAAGAGTGTGCTCCTGATCTCAGCTCGTTACCTGTATAAAAGACACCTGGGAGCCAGAAATATTTCTGATTGAGAGGGGGTCAAATATTTATTTCCCTAATTAAAATGCAAATCAATTTATAACATTTTTGACATGCGTTTTTCTGGATTTTGTTGTTGTTATTCTGTCTCTCACTGTTCAAATAAACCCACCATTAAAATTATAGACTGATAATTTATTCGTCAGTGGGTAAACGTACAAAATCAGCAGGGGGTCAAATACTTTTTCCCTCACTGTACACGAGGCCACGGCCCCCTTCTCGATCATTCTCGCTGACTGAACGCTCGTTCCACCGGCAGACTCCACCGTCCTCTTCCGTCACCCTACCACGCTCCCTTCTCGATCATTCTCGTAACCACCAGTCCCTTCACACCCACAACTGATACCCCGGTCATCACCTTCCGTGGCCACCAGTCCCTTCGCACTCACAACTGATACCCCTGTCATCACTTCCCGTGGCGACTAGTCAACTCACACCGTATGCAGGCTCTATTGAAATTACATATGTACGTGTTGTGTGTGTGCATCCTTGAAGAGGAGGAAAGAAGCGATGGGGAGAGAGTGGGGAGAGACAAATGGAGAGAGATCCCAACGGGGGAGAGAGAGCCCCCGGCCCCCACCTCCCACCTGCCCCCCGGCTCCTCCCTATACCTCCTCTCACACGTCCGCGGTGTGCCTCCCTCACCTGTTCGTCTTTGCCTCTCCCAGGTGTGAGGCCTCAGACTGTGCCACTGGATCGCGAGTCTCTCAACCTCCCCGAAGGTGCGTTGGGTGAGACGGTAGTCCCACGTGTCTCTTACGTGCACCCCTTGTCTCTCACGCTCACGCGAGACGGCAGTCCCACCCGCGCCCCGTATCACGCGCATGCACGCGAGACGGTAGTCCCGCGTGTCTCTCACGCGCGCGCCCCGCGTCTCTCACGTGCACGCGCGAGACAGGCCTGAGCATCCTGCACACGTGGCTGGGCGCCGAGGCGCACTACGGGGTGTTCTGCACGCGGGGCCTCGTGGCGCGGGGCACGCGCTTCGGGCCCTACGCGGGCCGCGTCGTCTCGCCCAGCGAGATCAAGACCCACGACGACAACTCACACATGTGGGAGGTGAGGGTCCATCTCGCTCGCTCGCTCGCTCGCTCATTCGCTCGCATGCACGCCGGCGCACGTGTGTGTGTGGGCGACCCACGAGTCGCGAGCTCGAAATTCTCGACGGCAGTGACCACGGTCGCACCGCAACTGCCGTCACCCCCTACGGACGACAACCCCACCACAATCACCACCACCACTATCTCATCCCTTCATTATCCATGACGTCGCCCTCTAGTTCCACCATCACCTCCTCCACTGTCACGTCCTCCTTACCCCTACCTCTACCAGCCCGCCACCTATCCACTTCCTCCAAAAGCTCATGCCACTCATCCCCCAAATACCCCCCAAACCGCCCAAATCGGAAGCTTATCCTTGTTTTCCTGCCCTGGTCTCCCCCTCCACCACAACAAACCCTCCATTCAACACTCCCCCCCCCCCACCGCCCCCCACGATCCCCCCACCACTCTCCACCACACCCCCACCACCCCACCCCACCCCACAGATTTTCGAGGGGGGGCCGCTTGAGCCACTTTATCGACGGGCGCGGCGCGGCGGGCAACTGGATGTCGCTGGTGAACTGTGCGCGGAGCTCCTCCGAGCAGAACCTCGTGGCGCTGCAGAGCGGCCGATCCATCGTGTACGAGGCGAGTCGCGACGTTCCCTCGGGCCGCGAGCTCCTCGTGTGGTACGGCGAATCCGCCTACCTGCAGTTCCTGGGCATCCCCGTGGGACTCAGGCTCCCGACGGCCGCGGCCTCGAGTCCCGGAGCGGGCCCGGGACGCGGGCCGGGAGCCGGGCCGGGCGGCGGAGACGCGGCGAGCCCCGCGCGGAGCGCGGCGGAGGACGTGGAGGCCGCGGCGGCCGGGGGGGGCGCCGGCGGCAGCGGCGGGAGTCTGACGATGGTGATGGCTGCCGCGGCGGCGGTAAAAACGACGGTGATGGCGATGGCGGTGGGCGATGGGAGGATGGCAGGAGGAGGAGACGTGGAGGGATATGGAGAGGCGGTGACGGCTGATGGTACGATGGTGGTGGTGGTGGTTGGTGTCGATCACAAATCGCTCTTGAATTGCATCAAAAAAGTAACTCGCAGTGCCCCACCTATTCCCCATGTTTCAGGGAACGAAAGGTGATCCGATCTGCGACCCCCAGGAATGGGTCGAGCAGGTTTACTGAGCATTTCTGAGGTCTTGGGGGAGGTAAAACTCCCTCGGCTGAAACAACATCATGGGGAAAGGTGGGCTTGACCCTGCTGGGGCTGTGGTGCCTCAAACATTGGAAGAAGTTGTCACCCCCTGTGAGTGGTTGGATGATGTGCCATCTGTTGAGGAAGTGCGAAGGACAATCCAGAGCATGAGACCGGGTAAATCGCACATCCGATTAGCACGGTTGGCTACGTACGGTGCGAAGGAAGTTCAACGTGCATACAAAGCAGCAGGTAGAGATGACCTCTCAAACTCACTGCTGAGAGAGGGTGGCGTGCAAACCCCTCTATGCGACATCATTACAATGGGGCTGGTCCACACGACGAGCTCCGCAGGATTCCAAGGATGCACTGGTGGTCCCCCATTTTTTTTTTTTTTAATCGGGACTGCTCTGATTGCAACAACTTTTGGGCCATCTCCCTCCTCAGTGCTGGGAAAGGCCCTGGAAATAATAATTCAACATCGCCTTGCCAGGCACGCTGAGGAGAGGCTCGCGAAGCCCCAATGTGCACGGACCCCATTTGTTTTGTTAGTCTCCTCCAGCAGAGGTGTAGATAATATCAACGGGACCTACATCTCTGCTTTGTTTGGCCTGGTCAAGGCCTCTGATACTATCAATAGACCAGGGCTTTGGGTTGTTCTGCGTGCTTTCAGAGTCCCTGACTCTGCTCCCAATCATTTGAGGACCTTCATGATGGTGGGCAGGTCTGGCTGAAGCTACATGGATGGGAGTCTGAGACATTTCCTGTTCACCTTGGGGCTCCACAGGGATTTCTTCTGGCCCTTACACTATTTAACATCTTCTTTGACCACGCAGTTCAAGACTTTCCCTGACTGTACCGGAGGGTCCTTAATCTGATACAGGTAAAATTGGAGGCTGATTGATGCCCGGGTGCGGTCGAGGGATGGCTCCCTGTTGTTCAACCATAGTGTATGTTGATGATCTGGTAAGTGGAGACACCACTGCTGAACCTGTGGCATGCCTCTAACAGACGGGGCCTCACCATCAGCCCCACCACTACGGAACCCGATGGCCCGAGTTAGATTGCCACTCACGGCCAACACCGCTGACGATCATCTGAACCGTTGCTGGGCCTCCTCTAGGTCTACTCAGCCTCAAATGAGTACCTGGTGCGGTGTGTAAACATCGCCAGCACTGGGGGAGACGAAGGCGGCACGGCGTGGCGTTTTGCCACCCGACCCCCTCGTTCGCCGTGCCCCGGCGGCCTGTTAAGTCTACACGGGGGGGGGGGGGGGGGGGGGGGGGGGGGGGGGGGGGGGGGGCGGGCGGGGGGGGGGGGGGGGGGGGGGGGGGGGCCTATGTCTCATCCCTTGCCGTGTGGCGTGCACGCAGAGAGCGGCGAAGGCTACCGCTGCGAGCGCTGCGGCAAGGTGTTCGCGTACCGCTACTACCGCGACAAGCACCTCAAGTACACGCGCTGCGTGGACCTCGGCGACCGCAAGTACCCGTGCAACCTGTGCACCCGCTCCTTCGAGAAGCGCGACCGCCTGCGCGTGCACATCCTGCACGTGCACGAGAAGCACCGGCCGCACAAGGTACGCGGGCGCGTACGCGCGGGAGTACGTGCGTACGCGCGGGAGTACGTGCGTACGCGCGGGAGTACGTACGTACGCGCGGGAGTACGTACGTACGTACGCGCGGGAGTACGTGCGTACGCGCGGGAGTACGTACGTACGCGCGGGAGTACGTACGTACGCGCGGGAGTACGTACGTACGTACGCGCGGGAGTACGTGCGTACGCGCGGGAGTACGTGCGTACGCGCGGGAGTACGTGCGTACGCGCGGGAGTACGTACGTACGCGCGGGAGTACGTACGTAAGCGCGGGCTCGAGTTCCGTTTTTTTTTTGTCCCCACCACATTTAGCAAGGTGCACCTGAGGTTATTTAGATTCTTTTTGGTGCTACAAATGTCCAAATGGTGGGCCGCTTTGTTGAGCTTTATCATTTGTGGCGAGGTCGCTTCTGAAAAATGAGTTAATACCTCCGTGGGCTTTGTCTGGTAGGATGAAGATGGTTTAGTTGTATTTGTTTGGGTGATTTGTTTTTGTAATGTTTGTTGTTGTAATGTTATTACCTGCTTAATAGCTCGTCGGACTCCTCCTGCAGTGTAAATAAATATTCGGATTCTGATATGTGTGCGAATATACACGCACACGTGTACACGCGTGCACGTGACTATTAGCAACAAGCGGTGTACGTATCAATCTTGATTTGAAGCTTTCGTGACTGCAGGAATCCATACTCTTTGGTTCTTTCGATAAAGTCAAGTAGGTAGAAAAATAAAATAAAAATTAAACGAGATAAAAAAATAACATATCACGACGTTTCGATCGCGACACAGGCGGAAAAAAATAATTAGGCAGTGGAAACTGCTGAACCAGCGAGAGAGCTGTTACAACAAGGTTACATATGTGGCGATGAGCAAGCTTTTGCTTGCTCAGCGCTTGCTTGCGATCGAAACGTCGTGATATATTATTTTTTATTTTGTTATATTTTCCTACCTACGTGACTTTACCGAAAGAACCAAGGAGCACGGTGTACGTATGTGAACATATACAGTCGTCCCTCGGTTGACGTTCCACGAAAACTACCATTAACCAAAATAACTGTTCAGCGAATTCACTCGCAAGTTGAAAAACGAGTTCAAATCACTGAGTCTGCGCTGGAGAGTCCGTTTCGACTGCCAACACAGAGAACGTAACGTAAACAATGCCAGCCGAGGTCTAAACGATCGTAAATGGCCGTCGCTGATTGGCTGAGGGCATGGCTCAGCCCCACTTACGAGCAGTTCGGATTGGCCGAAGCGGGCGCCACCGCGTGCATAACGTAAACACGTGACCGTGAGTCAAAAAATTGTGAACGTTCAGTCGAAACCACGGGGTCCCATGGGAGGTGAAACGTGAACCGAAAAAAAAACCCGTTAGCCGATGTCGAGGGGCTGCTGTACATATGTGTGTGTATGTGCAAGGATCATGTAATGAGACCGTCAGTTAATCGATTCATTAAGTAACAGTTGTTGGGAAGCGGAACGCGATTGGCCGGGAGGTTCAATCGGGATAGAACGGAGGGAAGACGGGGACGAGGATAGAGGACTGTTAGGCGTGGAGAAGGATGAAAATGTTATTGGTGGAGAAGACGAGGAGGAGGAAGAGGGGCATAGATAGGGAAGACTGTGAACGATTCAGGAAGGAAGGAGGGGTGGGCACGTGGTCTTTTGACAGTGAAGCTTCCTCCGAGTGGGTGTGTTTGCCGTTAATGGAGCAACTGAGTTGCCTTTCACATTGCGTACACGCACCTCATCCTCGTGCTGTGAAAGGCTCTACGGGGGAACGCGCTCCAAACCCGGCGACCCGAGTTCGATTCCAGCTCACGGCCAACACCAGTGACGACTATCTGAGCCGGTCCTGGGCCTCCGCCAGGTCGGCTCAGCCTCGAATGAGTACCTGGTGCGGTGTCTAGTAAACATCGCCACTGGGGTGACAAAGGCGGCCGGGGGTTGTGTTGGCCACCCACCCCCTCGTGTGCCGTGGCGGCCTTTATAGGTGCTCGCTGACAGCACTTGCACCAACAGTTCATGTTCCCAGTCTATACGGGGGATCTTTGTCTTGTATAATACGCTACGAACCCGGCTAACTGATTTGCCGTCATCCTTGTCAACACAGTGCACTGTGTGCGGCAAAAGCTTCTCGCAGTCGTCCAGCCTTAACAAGCACATGCGCGTCCACTCCGGGGAGAGGCCCTACAAGTGCGTCTACTGCAGCAAGGTCAGGAACTCGCGGACTGCAGGTCCATCCGCTGCTGGATGAGCGCGCATCGTCCCGTCTCTCGCTAAAACTAAACGACTGTTTACTTATTATTTTGTCACCACCGGGTGAGGCCCGCTCAGCCTATACGTGGCTCTTTTTCAGAAGCGACTCTGGCTATCGCAAATGATGGGCCAAGCAAGGTGGCGTATCGTCATCGTCGCGTGTAACTTTTTAGCAGCAGCCAGAATGCTCTAAAGCGCGTGGTGTTGATTCTCAATGTGGAGGGGGAAAACCTGGAGAAGCAAAAAAAGGTCCAAGCGACCACGAGGAACAAGACACAGAGACTCCAAATATACAGCAGCAGGCGTCAGGGTCGGGATCGAACCCAGGCTCTTCTGCATACCAGGCGAGGGAGTTGACATCTCGACACCGTGATGGTGATCAGAGAGAGAGAGACACGCAATCTCCAGGGTCGGGATCGAACCCACGACCTCCTGCATACCAGGCGAGGGAGTTAACATCTCCGAGGGAGTTGACATCTCCCGCTCGCTCCTGCCGCACTCAGCCGATTGTGGAGTTCCGTCTCTCTCTCTCTCTCTCCGTGAAGATGTCGATGGACAGCCCCGTCGATGGAGGGTGTTTGCCCTCCTTTAGGCTGTCGCTCCAGTCGGTTGTCTCGACGGTGAGGGCTAAGAATCACCGTACCGTTGGCATCGCATTCAGAGGATTTTGCCTGCTGCTGTAGATTTTTTTTTTTTGCCACGTGATGAAGCCACTTCGTGTTGAGCCGTCATTTGTGAAGAAATAAAACCTACGTAGCTGGGTGGGCCTTACCTTATTGTCTCCCTTCTACGTGACTTTACCGAAAGAACCAAGAATATACAAAAAAAATCGTTTAGTTTTATAGATTAGTTGACAACTAATGAACTGCATCATTATTGATGCACAGCTTTAAATGTCTCGGAATATTTCCCTGTGTCCCCACCATCTCCTGGACCGTGGCGGTCCCCCACTCACCCAACTGCCCCCCATCAACAGTCCCCTCCCCCCCTAACTGCTCACCCTGACTGCCCCCCCCCCCAGCTGCCCCTCGCCAACTGCACCTCCCCCAACTGTCCCCCCTCCAACTGCCCCCCCAACTGCCCCGTCCCCAACTGCCCCCACCTCCCCAACTGCCCTCACCTCCAAACTCCCCGTCCCCACTGCCCCGCCCCCCATATTATGGATGATATTGGTTGCGAAAGCCTACGTGTTAAACTGACTGTATGGGTCTCTGTGTAACTCTATGGGTCTCTGTGCAACTCTATGGGTCTCTGTGTAACTCTATGGGTCTCTGTGTAACTCTATGGGTCTCTGTGTAACTCTATGGGTCTCTGTGTAACTCGATGGGTCTCTGTGTAACTCCATGGGTCTCTGTGTAACTCCATGGGTCTCTGTGTAACTCCATGGGTCTCTGTGTAACTCCATGGGTCTCTGTGTAACTCCATGGGTCTCTGTGTAACTCCATGGGTCTCTGTGTAACTCTATGGGTCTCTGTGTAACTCTATGGGTCTCTGTGTAACTCCATGGGTCTCTGTGTAACTCCATGGGTCTCTGTGTAACTCTATGGGTCTCTGTGTAACTCTATGGGTCTCTGTGTAACTCTATGGGTCTCTGTGTAACTCTATGGGTCTCTGTGTAACTCCATGGGTCTCCAGTATGCAAGATATATATTTATTTATGGACTTGTTTCCTGGTTCCTTTCGTAAGGCCGTAGTCCGCTTTAGAGTTTCACCCCCACCACCACCCCTACCACGATGGTATGTCCCGGCTCATTGCCACTGCAGTCCACCCACACAATTGATGATTGGTTCAGACCTTGCGAGGGAAATGTGTGTCGGAAACCTTCCTCCACCCCACCAAAAAATGAATTCTGTATTCTGAATCATAATATCGGTCGTGTTAAATTTACCCATTTGTGTTTGTTGTGTCCACCACCACTACACACACCACCACACACACATACACACACCCCACATGCACCACATACACACACCACACAAACCACCACCACACACACCGCTATCACACACATACACCACACACACACGCCACACCCATACACCACACACACCACCACACACACACGCCACACCCATACACCACACACACCACCACACACACACGCCACACCCATACACCACACACACCACCACACACACATACACCACACACACATACATCACACACCACACACACACACGCCACACTCATACACCACACACACCACCACACACACGCACGCCACACATACCACACACACACATACGCCACACCCATACATCACACACACCACCACACACACGCCACACACGCACGCCACACCCATACACCACACACACCACCACACACACGCACGCCACACACCACACACACACACGCCACACCCATACACCACACACACCACCACACACACGCACGCCACACACACCACCACACACACGCACGCCACACACACCACCACACACACGCACGCCACACATACCACACACACACACGCACGCCACACACACCACACACACACGCACGCCACACACACCACACACACACGCACGCCACACACACCACCACACACACGCACGCCACACACACACACCACACGCCACACCCATACCACACACACACATACCACACACACACATACACCACACACACATACACCACACACACGCACGCCACACATACCACACACACGCACGCCACACACACCACACATACCACACACACACGCACGCCACACACACCACCACACACACGCACGCCACACATACCACACACACACACACCCATACACCACACACACGCACGCACGCGCGCCAGGCGTTCACCGCGTCGTCCATCCTGCGCACACACATCCGCCAGCACTCGGGCGAGAAGCCCTTCAAGTGCCGTCACTGCGGCAAGGCGTTCGCGTCGCACGCGGCGCACGACAGCCACGTGCGGCGGACGCACGCCAAGGAGAAGGCCAGCCTGGCGTGCGGCGCCTGCGGCAAGGCCTTCGCGCAGCCCTACGAGCTCAAGTTCCACCTCAAGATACACGCCGGAGGAGGAGGAGGAGGTAACGAACGGTCTCTCCTACCTAGAACGCCGCGCGTTGGTTGTTTTCATAGAGCGGAATTTTGATATAACGCCATGACGAATGTCCTTTTGGGAACGCGTTTTAAAAAAAATATATATGTATGTATAAACGCGGATATGAATTGGATGTAATACGGTCGGGCGAGCGGAGGTGCGTCGCAGTGGGCGGGTGGTAAGCGGCCGTACGGATGCCTTGGCGTAGCCGTCGCACAAGACATCGGGATGCTGCTGGATCGGTGGGATGCTGCTGGATCGGTGGGATGCTGCTGGATCGGTGGCATACTGCTGGATCGGTGGGATGCTGTTAGATCGGTGGGATGCTGCTGGATCAGCGGGATGCTGTTAGATCGGCGGGATGCTGCTGGATCGGTGGGATGCTGCTGGATCGGTGGGATGCTGCTGGATCGGCGGGATGCTGCTGGATCGGCGGGATGCTGCTGGATGCTTCTTGGATGCGGCCCATGCGCCTCGGTCTTTGCTCGGCCTGCGTTTACGCGTCTCACGCCTTGTCGCCGACTACTATGCTTTGGCCCGATGTTATTTCGTAGTTTTGTTTTAACGATATTTTTCGATAACGTGGTGTTCTCCAGGAACGCAAAACTACTACCGCCACGTCATAGGAGAACACACTGTACCTGGCTTCACAAGACAGAAGGTCCCGTCCGTAGAGCATTCGCAGACTTGTTTTGGGCAAGTGCTGTTGGCGAGTGGCACCAGGTGCACTTCTGGGGCCGTCTGGAATGCTCTCTCCCTTCCGATATTAGGAATTCCACTGGAGCTATGCACGTTTAAATGATCTAGACCAGGGGCTTGGCCAACCTGCGGCTCTTCAAGGACTGCTTTAGTGATGGGGTTTTTTTTATTATTAAGGACCCTCCGCCGTCTCGTATTCACATGCCATTGCGGCTCTTAAAATATTGAGTTTTCTTCACCAATTCGAGAAAAATGAAAGCCATCAAGCATTTTATGAATTGCGACTATTTAATGATAATGATGTAAACGATACAATAATTGATGTCCTCCCAGTGCATTCGGTTGGAGCGTACAAAAGATGAACCGCTGTCTGCACACATCCCACGGGAAACTATACAAACAAATGGGATCAATCGATCCACGGATCGCCTTTTGAATCGATGTGGTGATTAGCCCTCGATGAATCGATACTCTAACGTGGCTACATTTTGATTCAAAGCTTTCGTGACTGCGGTGATTCATATTCTTGGTTCTTTCGGTAAAGTCACGTTGAAGGGAAAACAATCAAATAATAATGACGTCAAATATATATATATTTTTAATATATATTTTATTATTTAATTGTTTCCCTTCAACGTGACATTACCGAAAGAACCAAGAATATGAATATCTAACGTGGCTGTCGGTTTCGACCGTGAGCAGAATCGACGCAGCAGGCACTTTCGATTCAGGCTCCACAAGGCCACGTACGGGCAAGGACACGGCCCTCCGAGTAAACGCCCCACCCACCTTCTCCCATACCATTGGCCATAATTTCCCCTCCGGAACAAAGGAGGGCGTTGTAACGAAACGGCGTTAAAAGAGGCAGCGCTCTCAGAGGCTACACCCCGTTGCCATCACCGAGCACCGGCAGAGCTTGGGCCAATTCCCGGTAACCGTCTCACCGCGTGGCCTCCTCCCCGACAGGGTTCCCGAGGGCGCGTTTCCAAATTTTTTTTTTTATTTTACCGTCGAAATCAGCACGACGCCATTGGCCATGGCGCGATGTGCGATGTCGCCCGGGCACGTCGCTGAACCTGACGATTGCCGTCGCCGTCGTCGTCGTTGTTGTTCCGTTCCGGTGCAGGCGAATCGGCCAGCGGCGCCATCCTAGAGCAGCCGAGTCCGTCTCCAGACACCGAGGACTCGCTGGCTGGCGAGGGCGGCGCGGCCATCCGCGGCGACGGTGCCGCCCGCGCGGCCTACAGGCCCTACCCGCCCGTGCCTCCCTCATCCCGCGGCAGCAGCGACGGCAGCGTGCAGGGCACAGAGCCCTACTGAGGGCGGCGGCGCCGGCGGCGGCGGCGGCGGCAGCTGCGGGTCCCGCGAGCCGACGACCCTGCCCGTCCCGTCCTGGTCGTCGTTCGTCTGGAGCGTCGTGGGGGGGGGTGGGGACCTGGGCGAAGTTGTGCAGCTGCACTCGGGAGATGCGAGGCCTCGCTCTCCAGAGAACTAGGTGACATTGCACAAAGGGGGCACCTGGAAAGGTTTTGATCGTGGGCCACCCGCTACTTTGCCAAGAGAGAGCTGGGTATTTACACGGAGATCAGGATGGTTTGGGTCATCCGGGAGGATCTGCCATATCGGCCGAGGGACTTCAAACCAGATACATGGGCATCTGGGCGGCTTGTGGCCAGAGGATGTGTCACGTCGCCAGAGAGACTTTGGGCCACCGATTCTGGAGTCTTTACGAGGAGGTCATAGGACCTTGTAGTGAGCACCTTGAGATGCACATAAAGCCGCGCCCCTGGGCAATGTCCTACTCGCCAAGAAGTTCGGGGCGTTACCCTGGGGATCGGTGAAGTTCTCAAACCTGCGTCTTTTCTCGAAGAGATTTGAGAGAATTGTTGACCGGAGCCGGGTACTTTCTCCGATGGGAGCTTGGCCCTCGCGCCAGGGACTGGCCTGGGAGGTGACACTGCCTCGGCAAAGGGGCCGTGGGAATGTTTTCAGAGGCACGGGTGCTTTGCTCTTGAGAACAGAGAAACTCGTGGAGTCCCACGATCATCGACACTGACACCTGCAGGCACATTCAATTCCAAATCCCCCGAGCAAGAAGGTCGAGAAGGGCACACCATCTGTGAGACCTCACCTCAACACGACCGACAATTCGATGCACAGATAATGGTCCAGGTGTGCGACAGATAGATGGATCGTCATCATCATCACCAGTTATCGTGTAAAATGTATCCCGCGCACACCTCACCATGCGGTACCTTTCGAGGTATCAGAGACACCCTCAATAGCCTCCCGGGATCGATAAAAGTTGGTTCGTGGTGGTCCAATCGAGGGGAAACGCAAGAACGTGAATTAAACGATCTTCGCTCACCGGGACTCCGCGAAATGGATCGACTGAGGGCGAGTTGGTTCCTGGGTTGCCGAGGTTTCGTTCCCGCCAGGCCAAGACACGCCCACCAGTCTCCACACCCCAGCACAAAGAGACAATTGTTTTGACGTCACAATCAGCGGACTGACATCGCTAGTTTTGTTCATTTTCTGTTGTCGTGTCTAAGATTATTTTGTTTGCAATTTTTTTTTCCCACAAAAATGTAAAGTCGTGAACAATGATGTTTTTTTATTTTTGCGTGTAAAATGCGGGGGGGGGAGGGAGGGAGGGAGGGGTGGCAGAAGGGGTGGGGGTGCTTCTGGGGTAGGAGAGCGATTTGGAATGGAACGTCTGGAACGATTCAACGCCGGCTCCACCACCTTAGCGATCGCCGGCTTGCGTCAAGCCGCGTCTCCGTCGTCGAGTAATCGTGCAGCGGTACGCTTGGCCCTGGGGCTGCTTTGAGTTTCACACCTGAGCGAGCAAGCAGTTGTGCACAGCGATGAGTTAGAGAGAGAGAAAGCAACCAACAAATGAACCCCGCGTGTTTGGGGAATCGCGACGACCATTCGCAGTTGCGCAAATGTCGTCGCACGTGGTGACGGAGCGCAATGGCTGCCACACCGCCGAGCATATCGACGCTTGAAAGTAGACATCTGAAAATTATACGAGTAATTATTATAAGTATAAGTATAGTTGGGTGATGCTGCTGCTGCTGCTGTTGCAGATTGGTACAAGCACACGAAAAAAAACCCCACCATATTCGTCAAGTAAAATGTGCCCTGAAGAAGGGCCATTACCTGAAACGTCACCTGCTATATACCATTATTTTTAAGGCCATAGTATGACTGACGAAAATGTGGAGTTTTCAGTTGTGCCACTGCTTGCAACTGGTTGCAGCGCCGGTGATGAGTTGTGCAACCCGAATCTCTCTCAATCCCTCAGCTTTATTGCCTGCTTATAATGCGTGGACATATCTGCGACAGGATACGTCTGCGCATCGTAAGCAGGCAATTACGTTGCACGCAGTCAAGTTGCGCAACTTGTCGCTCTGGTGTGGACCCAGCTTCATAATCTCGAGGATGGGGGAGTGTGGGTGGGTAGGTGAGTGGGTGGGTGGGTTGTCGGGTGTGTTGTTGGGTAGGTGGGTAGGTGAGTGTGTGGGTGGGTTGTTGGGTTTGTTGTTGGGTAGGTGAGTAGGTATGTGGATAGGTGGGTGGGTGAGTTGATGGGTAGGTGGGTTGTTGGGTAGGTGGGTTGTTGGGTAAGTGGGTGGGTGTGTTGTTGGATAGGTAGGTGGGTAAGTGGATAGGTTGTTGGGTAGGTGGGTAGGTGAGTGGGTTGTTGGGTGTTGTTGAGTAGGTGGGTAGGTAGGCGGGTAAGTGGGTGGGTTGTTGGGGGTGTTGTCGAGTAGGTGGGTGGGTTTTTGGGTAGGTGGGTGAATAGGTGGGTAGGTGAGTGGGCGGGTAGATCAGTAAAGATGTTTTCGTACGATAAGGGAAGGGTCAAGGGTCAACCCAGAGTGACGTGCACGTTGTTTTATGGCGACACGCCGCGGTGTGGAACTCCGTTACTGTGAAAAGTGCACTTTTGCGAAAAATCCCAACGTGTGAGCGGCGGGGGCATCTCGAACGTTTGTGACGTCGTTGAGGTGCGACCAGGTCGCGCGGCGGTGCCTAGGCAATGAGCGAACCTCATCAAAGGCTTCGGGGCTCCAAGCAGAGCAGGCAACAACAACAAAAATGAGAATGCATCGAATGTCACTCGTAACAAGAGGTCTTTTTTTTGCTGGGTTAGATCGCCTAAGTGTCAAGCCGCCACCGCCCGACACAGCCAACCGGTAAGGTTTGTCACGTGAAATAAAAGGTGCCAATTAGTTACTGATAATTGTTTTTTTTTTACCCTTTTATCTGGCAACAAAACTGACACCTTTTTTTTTACAAAGAGTCATGTTTGCATTGACCACAATACCTGCGGTTGGAATGCAAACAAAAAAAACATAATGTATGCACTGTCCTTGAAATTGATTGGTCCACACCCGAGACAGCTTTCCTTAAGAGCCTCGTCTCACGTGGTGTTGGACCAGATGACGCCAAAAGGCGCAATCAATTTCAAGGACAGTGCCAATACATTATCAGAGTTATGTTTTTTTGTTTGCATTCCGACCGCAGGTATTGTGGTCGATGCAAACATGACTCCTGGTAAAAAAAGGCGTCAGTTTTGTTGCCAGATAAAAAAAAACAATAATCATATTTAGCCACTGGCAAAGGAGGTTCCAATGGTGTAAATTAGTTACTGCTTCAGCCCACTGGTGTGTTGGAGAGTTTAAATCTACAACATTTACAATTCGAGTAGCGTGATGTTTCGCCGGAAATTACGTCAAGCATCATCGGGTGATTTTGTCAAAATTGTAGTAACTAATTGGCACGTTTCGTTTACGTGACAAACCTCACCAAGTTGGCTGTGTCGAGTGGTGTCAAGTTAACGACACATTTATATTTACGCGATCGTAACCAAACAAAAAAACGTTATTATGAATAATATTGGCCGCCAAAGCCTAACGTGTCAATTCAAATGTCGCGTCGGAATTCAAATGCCTCTAAGCACAGAAAGGTGAATTGACATAATCGAATGTCTCTCTCGTCCCCTTTATTCTCTGCCGGTTCACAGACAATTATAGTCTGCAATGGTGGATATCATAGAGCTACCTCTGAGATTCCTTCAAGTGACCTCTGTTCCACCCCGAATCTATGAAACTGAAAGCGTTCTAACCAAAAAAAAGGTGAATTTTAAGTAATGTGTTCTCACACGCCCAGTTCGTATTGATGTCCCAAGTAATGTTTCCCGTCTTATACATACAAAAAAAATCGATTGCGTCTGCCTTATTAGCATGAAAGGGTAGAGTTGTAGCAACTTTGTAAAGAAAACAAACAAAAAATTACTGGGGGGGGGGGGTTTGGGGGGGGGGAATTCCCCCCCTTAAAACGAAAGCACGCGGCGATGTTTGCGGTGAGTTCGACAGAGAGCACGTGGTCAAGGAAGGCGGGGCATGACGTCACAGCGGCACCCAACCAACCACGCGCGCGCCACGTGACTCGCGGAGAGAGACTGTGATGCAATGGGAATGCGCGCGCGCGCACACGCGACAAAGACCCCCCCCCCCCCCCGCGTAGCCTGAACAGACTGTTGGGGGCAAGTGCTGCACCTATAAAGGCCATCACCAGGTACTCGTTTGAGGTTGAGTCGCACACACACACACGTAGGTGCACACACACCACACACAGTACACACACACAAATAGGTTCGTACACACACCATACACAGGCACACGCACACAGGTTGCAACACACGCTAAGACTACTCGCCCTATGCAACGTCTAGATGCGCCGGACAAAAAGATTGCTCGCTGTGAAGGTTAAGAAGGGCTACGCGCCAAAGACGGTCGATTGAAGCCAAAGACTGCTCACTCAGAAATACAGCGCGATCCGCACCAAGAACTGATCACGTTTTGCGAAGTCTACGTGCACGCAAAATACTCTTCACTTCCGAAAACTAGATGCACGACCAAATACGTACTTGAGAAGCGTAGATGCACACCAAAGACTCTTCACTTCTGAAACGGAGGTGCACACCAAAGACCCTCAGTAAAACTAAATGCACACCAAAGACTCAGACATCTAGATGCGCACCAAAGACTTTATTCAGGAAACTAGATGCACAACCAAAGACTGTTCGTTTCTAAAACTAGATGCACACCAAAGACCCTCAGTAAAACTAGATGCACACCAAAGACTCAGACATCTAGATGCATACCAAAGACTGTTCACTTGTAAGCTCGCGCTGCGCATGATATCCCTGTTTGAATGGTTGTAGCTGCGTGTCGTGTGTGATGGCATCGCAACGATGGTACAGTGAGGGAAAAAAGTATTTGATCCCCTGCTGATTTTGTACGTTTGTCCACTGACAAAGAAATGATCAGTCTATAATTTTAATGGTAGGTTTATTTGAACAGTGAGAGACAGAATAACAACAAAACAATCCAGAAAAACGCATGTCAAAAATGTTATAAATTTGCATTTTAATGAGGGAAATAAGTATTTGACCCCCTCTCAATCAGAAAGATTTCTGGCTCCCAGGTGTCTTTTATACGGGTAACGAGCTGAGATTAGGAGCACACTCTTAAAGGGAGTGCTCCTAATCTCAGCTTGTTACCTGTATAAAAGGCACCTGTCCACAGAAGCAATCAATCAATCAGATTCCAAACTCTCCACCATGGCCAAGACCAAAGAGCTCTCCAAGGATGTCAGGGACAAGATTGTAGACCTACACAATGCTGGAATGGGCTACAAGACCATTGCCAAGCATCTTGGTGAGAAGGTGACAACAGTTGGTGCAAATGGAAGAAACACAAAAGAACTGTCAATCTCCCTCGGCCTGGGGCTCCATGCAAGATCTCACCTCGTGGAGTTGCAATGATCATGAGAACGGTGAGGAATCAGCCCAGAACTACACGGGAGGATCTTGTCAATGATCTCAAGGCAGCTGGGACCATAGTCACCAAGAAAACAATTGGTAACACACTACGCCGTGAAGGACTGAAATCCTGCAGCGCCCGCAAGGTCCCCCTGCTCAAGAAAGCACATATACATGCCCGTCTGAAGTTTGCCAATGAACATCTGAATGATTCAGAGGACAACTGGGTGAAAGTGTTGTGGTCAGATGAGACCAAAATGGAGCTCTTTGGCATCAACTCAACTCGCCGTGTTTGGAGGAGGAGGAATGCTGCCTATGACCCCAAGAACACCATCCCCACCGTCAAACATGGAGGTGGAAACATTATGCTTTGGGGGTCTTTTTTCTGCTAAGGGGACAGGACAACTTCACCGCATCAAAGGGACGATGGACGGGGCCATGTACCGTCAAATCTTGGGTGAGAACCTCCTTCCCTCAGCCAGGGCATTGAAAATGGGTCGTGGATGGGTATTCCAGCATGACAATGACCCAAAACACACGGCCAAGGCAACAAAGGAGTGGCTCAAGAAGAAGCACATTAAGGTCCTGGAGTGGCCTAGTCAGTCTCCAGACCTTAATCCCAGAGAAAATCTGTGGAGGGAACTGAAGGTTCGAGTTGCCAAACGTCAGCCTCGAAACCTTAATGACTTGGAGAAGATCTGCAAAGAGGAGTGGGACAAAATCCCTCCTGAGATGTGTGCAAACCTGGTGGCCAACTACAAGAAACGTCTGACCTCGGTGATTCCCAACAAGGGTTTTGCCACCAAGTACTAAGTCATGTTTTGCAGAGGGGTCAAATACTTATTTCCCTCATTAAAATGCAAATCATTTTTGACATGCGTTTTTCTGGATTGTTTTGTTGTTATTCTGTCTCTCACTGTTCAAATAAACCTACCATTAAAATTATAGACTGATCATTTCTTTGTCAGTGGGCAAACGTACAAAATCAGCAGGGGGTCAAATACTTTTTTTCCCTCACTGTACGTGCGGTGGTGTCATCACAGTTACACGGTGCGTGTGATGTCTGTGATGGGTGAAACGAGATTGTCATGATCGTTGTTATGATCAGTAGGAGAACCGTGAGCAGCAGTAGCAGCAGATGGATGATCAGGACCATGATCAGTGGCATCAGCAGCAGAATTTGTATCAGCAGTAGCTGAAGTTTTATCATGAGCACCATCGATGTAATCCTCAATGCCAGTCGAGGATTCACCTTCGTATTCACTCTTAGTAGCAGCGGAGTCATCGTGTTCATCAGCAGTTGAAACAGCATCGGAAGCTTCGCAACCACCATCGCCAGTAGCAGTGCTCATCAGCAACTTCAGCAGCATAAATATAATAGGGAGACTCATGGGCAGACTCGTCAAGATCACTCATCACGGGCAGCCTGACAACCGTCATCCACATCGTCTTCACCAACATCGTCACCAGCACCACGATCAATGTCAACCTCTTACTCTCTTGAGCTGTACCAATATCACGATCATCATTACTGTCAGCACTAAATCAGCAGCAGCAACAGCAGCATCACCACCCTCATCGTTATTTAGCCTCTCCAGCTCCATCGTCATCATCATCAATCCCATCAACATTGCATCATTATTACCCCCTTAATCAGTACATCATTATCACCTTAAACGCTATATAATCACCACCACCACTACCACCTCATCACTTTCACTCTCTCCAGCGTCATCATCACCAGCAGCAGCAGCAGCATCAGCGTCATCATCTGTCAAGACGTCATCGTCACTGGTATCGCCACAATCATCATCACGCCACGAATCTTCGTCGCATTCCTGTGAGTAGCGTGCGGCTTTCCGCTCCTTGGCTTGCCGCCGCCGCTGCTGCTGCTGCTATTGTGGTCGTCGCTGTGATTTAGTGGTGGTGGTGGTGGTGGCGGTTGTTGTTGTTGTTGTTGGATCTGCTACCGCCAGCAGCAGCACTACCACCACGCTGCGTGAGTGCGTGCTCGATGAGGCTCACGGTGACACCGGCGTCGTCTTGTCACCACCACCGTCGTCGTCGTTGTCGTCATCGTCCACGTCGTCGTCGTCATCATCATCGTCGTCGTCATCGTCGTCATCATCCACGTCGTCGTCATCATCTTCGTCATCATCCACGTCGTCATCATCCACGTCGTCGTCGTCATCCACGTCGTCGTCGTCATCCACGTCGTCGTCGTCGTCATCCACGTCGTCGTCATCATCCACGTCGTCGTCGTCATCGTCCACGTCGTCGTCATCATCGTCCACGTCGTCGTCGTCGTCATCCACGTCGTCGTCGTCATCATCCACGTCGTCGTCGTCATCTTCGTCATCATCCACGTCGTCATCATCCACGTCGTCGTTGTCATCTTCGTCATCATCCTCGTCATCATCCTCGTCGTCATCATCCACGTCGTCGTCGTCATCATCGCCATCATCCTCGTCATCATCCACGTCGTCGTCATCATCGACGTGCAAGGACCGAGTCGATTCGAGTGTGCGAGAGAATCGATTCGCATTCTTTGTGACCTCACAGCCGCGACGTCGCATCATCATCATCGTCATCATCGTCATCATCATCATCATCGTCATCATCATCGTCTTCATCGTCATCATCATCGTCGCCATCGTCGTTTGTTGATAATGTCGATGTTGTTATTCTCAGGAAGACAATTTCTATACCGCACACGTAAGACGATTTACACTCTCCCTCCCGCAACACCAAAACGCAGGTTAATTAAAAATAATAATAAAAAAATGATGGAAAAAAAATATTACAAATGCTATGAGAAAGTTGTCCGAGTTCTGTTGTCCTCTCTGTGTCTGTCTGTCTCCCGACGCACGTGCTCAGATCCGGTGACAATGCATGCCCGTATCAAAATCGGCATCAGTTGATCAATGAACTCGCTACTTGAAAGCGATTAACATTTTGAATGGACGCCTTATTATTTATATATATTTGTGTAGGTAAAAAAACGCCCGTGTCCCTAAACTCTCGATTCGCCTGCTCCGTGTGAACAAGTTACGGAAGTCATCAATAAATTCAAGTAAGCGTTGATGTGGGAGCTGGCGTCTCACCATTGACGTACTTCTCCACCGTGAGTTAAACGAAGTTGTTAATAAAACCGTTGTTTAAACAAAACAAAAGCACTTTTTTTAAGGAGTTTATTTGACCATTTAAGGCCTCGCTGAGCTGCTGAACGGCTCTTTTCCAGAAGCGACCTGTCCGTCACGAACGACAGCTCAGCGAAGTGGGCTTATCATTATCGCGTGGGCATTTACAGCAGCCGAATGCCTCTGAACGCGTGACGTTGATTTTCATGAATGTGGAGGGGGGGGAGAAGCCGGAAGAGCCAGATAAATAATCCACGCGACCACGGAGAAGACGAAGATTCAAACTCCAAATATCCAGCAGCAGGCGTCAGTGGTCGAGATCGAACCCACGACCCCCTGTAGACCACGCGAGGTAGTTAACATCTCATAGCCACCGTGATGATGATGAGAGAAAGAGAGACGCGCAGACTCCAAATATACAGCAGCAGACGTCAGAGGTCGGGATCGAAACCACGTGCTCCTGCAGACCTGGCGAGGCAGTTAACATCTCCTTGCCACCAGATGACGTCGCGCGTCACGTGATCGTGGGAGGCCTGGGGGGTGGTGGCTGCTGATTCGACCTTGCTGCTCTCGACAACTCTCTCTGGTTGTTAGCACGTGGCAGGCTTCCGCGACCAATGTCATCTACAATAGAAGGGGTTTTATATAAATGCGTCGTTAAAACCCTGCCACCACCACCCGACGCAGCCATTGAGTAAGGTTTGTCACGTGAACAAAACGTGGCCAATTCGTTATTAGTACAGCAACAGCAACACCGGTTGTGTTGGAGAGTAAAGCCAGAACATTTACAATCTGAGTACGACGTTTCGCCAGTAATTACAACTAGCTTCAACTAGTATACTACACTATACACTACACTATACACTACACACCGGTGTGCTGTACTCGTAACGAATTGGCATGTTCTGTTTACGTGACAACCCTTACTAATTGGCAGTGTCGGGTGGTGGTGGGTTTAACGACACAAATGTTTATATTCACGTGATGTAACCCCAAAAAAAGAACCTGTTTTATGAACAACTCTTTTGCGCAATGCAGTGTGCCTGCTGCAGCATTTAAAAAAAATAATTTTTAACTATTAACATGAGCGAATGTA